GCCAAGACATAAAAAGCAGGAGGTCAAATACATTCCACTCAATGCTTTTCGCAATACGAATTCAACAGACTCTTTGCACAAATCTCATGACCTACATCCCCACTGAACAATTCAGTACATCCGTACTGAACAATTCTGACCAGCTTTACCCAATGTGATCTGCAAAGTCAGGTCAACAGTACCTTTGATGTTTTCTAAGGGTACACATTGTCTGGCAAAAACAATATCACAAGAATAAGAAAACAGACGGCGAGGGTGGAAAGCAGAGCTGGCCAGCTAGGGTGCAGTCAGAGACATGGAAACGTGTCTTTTCTGACTGGGAAACCTGGCTTCAGGTGGAAGGGGTTGTTGAGTTAGAGCTAAAAGGCCTAGCCCAGAGCACAGAGTCTGAAGGGGGTAATGGTGGAGGGTAGGATACACACCACACCACTGCAAGAGCCTTTTGCGACTACGGGAAGTTTTGACGTGAGTTTCATTTCCAACTTCCAGCTCCCATGCACCGTCCCTAGACTGCTGATAAGAAAACAATCTGTGAAAGCTTAACAAATCTTAAAATCAAAACTTAAAAACTTAAAATGGACTTTTAAAAACAGTTCTACAGTTCTTAGGATGAAGCTTTGTCACATAGTATTTGAAAAAGCTTATTTAATCATCTCATCTAGATATGAGAGACAAGGTTTAACTGATTCGGCCCACATTACACAGCACAGCGCTGGCAGCTCCGGCCGTGGGCTGAGTTCCTGGTTCAGCCGGTCCCGGTGCACAAGGTGGCCCCGGGAGTGGCCGTGCACACCGAGCAGAGGGGAGGGAGCCAGGGGGCCAGGCTAGCGGCAGGGGCTAACGCAGAGGTGCTGGCTCCAGGTTTTATCCAATAACAGTGAACGGCCAGATGAACAAACAGCCCAGAAACTCTCAGCACCTGCATGGGTTTTCACAGGAAGGGAAAACTCATACCCCGAGTCCTCTGACCAGCAAAACCTCAAAGAACGCTTTATTTCAGAAGCATGGGCAGTCGGGAGGTTTACCAAGACCTGCATTGGCCCAGCCCCCTGAGAGGACCGCACCCATCCGAGGGACCAAAGCCGCCCTCAAGAAGGTTCCTCTTCCTGATGGCCAAGCAGCTGCTGCCCCCGGCGCCGCACAGCTCCGCGAGCGCTCTCTAACGCCGAGGGCTGCACGACCGCCCCGGAGAGACGCGCGCCCACCCGGCGCACCAGCTGCAGCCTGCTTCGAGCATCTCTGGCCGAGGAAGCCAGCCGCAGGCGGCCCAGGAGGGCGGTGGTGGGGGGAGATCAGCGTTGCCTTCCCCCTACCTCCCCGCGCCCGCCTGCGGGACCAGAGCCCAAGGACGCCCCAGGCCGGCCAAGTCGCCGTCGCCGCCACCTGCCCGCGCCCGCCCTCCCCTAGCCGACCCCCAGCACCCCGAACGGCCCTTACCTGAGCCGGAGATGTGCACCCGGAGTGGGCGGCCCCTGCTGGAGCACGACGACAGGTCGCTCTGGGAGCGGCCGCGGGGGCTCGGGTCCCCGGGCAGCCTGCGCAGGGCCGGCGGCGGGGCGGACGCCTCGGGCTCAGGAGCTTCGGCCGCCACCTGCCCGACTGGCACCCCCGGGGACTCCGCGGAGCTCCTGCCCGCCTCGGCCATGGGCTCCGGCGGCCGCCGGCCCGGAGCGCGCGGTGGGCCAGGCTCCGTGGGCTGCGCTGTGGGGGCGCTCGGAGACCCTGAGGCAGCGCGCAGAGCGGGGAGGCTGGATGCCCGGCGCCGAGAAGCCGGCCGGGCGGGCGGGAGGAGGAAGAGGACAGAAAAGTTTGCACAGGAAGGAGCCGCCTACAGCCTGTTCTCGCTCCCGCCGGCGAAAGCCGCAGGGCTGGGAGCCCGGCCGCCCTCCGTGCCCGCGAACCTGCCCGGCGGCTCCTCCCCCGAGGCCCAGGCACTGCCCTTTGCAGGGTGGCAGCAGGAGGGAGGGTCCCCTCTGGCTGTCACTCCGCCAGCCGACCTCGGGTAAGTGGAGTTTGGGCTTCAGGTGCTAGGATGCAAGGTCAGGGTTAACAATGCGATTTCCATTTGTTGGGGGCAGCGGGGGGTGGGGATGGNAAGACCCTGTAGACACTAGACACTAGAGGGTTTACACATAAAGTCCCAGGAACCAGTTCACATGTACACTCTTGAAGCAAAATATCCTGCATAGGTGGAAGTTCTAAAGGTTTCTTCTTCTCTCTTAAATCTTTCAGAGCTTCCACCTCCTATAAATAATACATAGTAAGGTTCATCAAACAGGAAAGCGAGAGTACACTTTAAAACAGGACGTTAGTTTCCATGGATGGAGTTTTAAGACATTAGTGCAAAAGGGATTCATCTTTAAAGTAGTTGACAAGCCCAATAAAAGCTATCCTCAAAGTCTCGCTCCTCAAAGCATGGTTCATGGACCAGCAGCATCAGCAAAACTTTGAAGCCTGTTAGGAAACACAGAAGCTCCATCTCCACCCCAAACCCACCAAATTTCAACAAGATCCCCAGGTGATTCATAAGCAGAGTAATGTTTGAGCAATGCTACATTAGATAATATAACACTGCAACCTAAATCAGAGGTGAACTCAGGTGAGACCTCTGGTCAACAGGCCATGGCAGTGGATTTGAGTTGTCCATTGATGCACGGAATCGTCACCCCAGTACCCATCCAAAAGAAAATGGTAGACTTGGTGCTTTCTGCTGTGGCTGACTAGGGCTCCACTTTTTCTTGCTTCGTGGGGTGCTTTGGTTGCCTCTTGGCTATGAACAGAGCACTGAGGTGATGATGGCTGAAAAACCACAGCCTGGGATTAAGGGCTTCCTTGATGGGGCACAGGGACCAGCTGAATCATATTGAGACACCTCCACCCCCAGTCCTCAGTAACATTGTAACACAGGTGAGGGTACAAAAATGAACATCAAAGGAAGCCTTGGAGGAAGAGGGCTCAAAGGGTAACAGTTACAGTAGATGGGTGCNCTAGACGTGACAGCACCCCATGGCAGCAGCCAGGCAGCAGTGGGTGAAGAATGATAGAATGTCCAGGTTTGCTAGATTTCTCACTCCCTCGTCACTGAACACACCAGGGATGAAAGACTTAAGAAAAAGATAACTGGATTCGCAGTTACATACACCTCTATATACCAGGGCAAAGGGATGCTGGAGAGATGAATCAGGGTACCAAACATCTACACATCGAGCTGATAAAGTGGTCCATTCACTCACACCTCCCTTTTTGGAGGTGGCTCGAGTGGTTCTCTGCTCTGTGCAGCCCAATATGCAAGACAGTTATCCCTTGAAGACAGCAAACACTTCTTGGCCCTCCCTATGGCCCAAGAGGTCCAGCATAGCACCTGGCACACAGTAGGTCCACAGTCAGTACTTGCTGAAAGTATACAACAGCAATATGCCCTGGGTTGCATCCTAAGGTTCTGTATTCACTGAACATTGGGCTTATCAGAAGAGCACATCAGAACAAGCTGAATATATGAGGCTCTAATACGGAAAAAAATTGGTCTGAAAATTAAGAGAACAACTGTCCAAATACCATGAATACCTTGTTTCAGGATTTTTTTTTTCAAGATAAAATTTCACTATATTTACAAAGAAATACTGGATTTTAAAAATCCAGAATTTTTGTTGAGTTCAAAAACCATGAAGCAAAATCAATCTGGCTTTTTACAAAGTGCAAAAAAAAAAAATTCAGGTTTTATAAGCTCATTAAAAGGACTTATAACATCAATTCCAATGTTGTTTAAATTACATTTTAAAATGCACTTACACGAACATATTTGGTTGTCTTCACATTTTTTGAATGGATTTTAAAATACAAAACAACGTTTTGCTGACAATGCACATATATTTTATCATGTGAAAAAATAACTGCTCACATCACAAATTAAATAAAAGCCACTGAAGTCTGGGGTGCTTTTCTTGGCAAAACTCTAGTAATAAGGCAGAGACAGGGAGAGTGGATTCTCTTGTGATAGCCCCACAGCATTGACTGACACAGTGCCAGCACAGAGCAGGTCTTTAAAAATTACATTTCATATTGGAATGACTTTTATTGCCATAACTGGCAAGATTCTCGAGGCCAGAGTTTCAAGTTTTTATTATTCTTTCATGGGAGAACGGTGGAGTGGAAGCCAGGGTGGGAGGTGGGGGTGACAGATGGGGTAGCTGGGAGTGGACAGCTGTTTCGAAGTGAAGTTCTTCAACAGTCCATGGAGAATAGTTTCCAACTGTCTCTTCCTTCCCTTCCTCTCGGCCCTGCCAGCCGCACATCATTGCAAAATGTGATGTCCCCTCCTGCCTTCAACACTCTCCCAAGGGCTCACACCTGGTAGTTAACTCATTATTAGATATTAACCCTTCGGAAGAACTTATTGACAATTAGCTGGAATGAAGAAAGGGAGTGAGAAAGGCCATTTGGGAGGTGGTGGTAGCAGGACAGAGTACCAATAGGGATGTGAGAAGGTCCTAAAGCTAAGTTGTCAACCTTACACTTGCCCAGGCCAACCCTAGCCACAGTCACAATGCATAATGGCAGCATCTACGCCACAGGACAGTGGTTGACAAACTTGGCTACACATCAGAATCACCTAATGCCGGGCTGCACCTGATGCCAATTAAATCAGAATCCCTGGCAGTGGAACCCAGCCATAAATTGTTTTGTTTTGTTTTAATTCTCCAAGTGACTCCTATGTGTAACCAACTTTGGAAACAAGTGTCAGAGAGTCACAC